ACTGTTGTGAGGCACATTGGTATGTGTAGTTCTCTGATCTGGGTTGATGTCTTTCCCACGAGACTTACATTTCACTTGTTATCAAAAATCACTTTGTCCTTAGGAAAGTAGAACCACTGAATGGCATTTTTATAAGAAGGGAGAGGGGATGTCAGATGGCTGGGATTATTCCTAGTACTAATGGCCTCAACTGATCTGCAGACACCGGAGTATAGAAGCATGGGAAAGTGCTCATCTTTCAAGAAGACGTTAGCACTTTGTGGCTTTTAGCTTGGTGACCATAGGTACCTGCTGAATACAGTAATTGTCTAATTTTTTGGATGGAGGGAAGAAAGGAGGCTATAAGTTGTGGGAATTATATAATTATGACTAGTTAAAATTTTAGATAAGATCTTGATATTTAAATATTTTATTTACTGTTCGACCATGACTTTGACTGTGGGCATTTTGTGAAAAGCTTCTATAATCCTAAAACATTTTAAGAAAAAGTATAATTTTATTAGATTTAGTTTCAGTTGAACTTGATCTGAGGCAGTTTATATATAGGTGGGAAAGTGTTTCGCTGAATAATCAATAATTTAGAAAGAATTTAGCATACATAGAAATGTTGTGAAGTAAAGTTCCAGTTATTCTCGCTCAAGGCCATCTCTTTGGTTTTTCCTCTCATTTCTCAGTGTTTGCCAACATGTTTTACTCACACTACTTTGTCTTTAAAATTTTACTAGCATTTTTGTCCTGAGCTCTCCAACTTAATAAGGCTGACACACACTCTTTTGTACAAGTATTTTTTTTACTTTTATTTTTGGGGTATATGCCCTTTACTCTTAGCAGTAAAGTCATCTGAGAGCATTTTCTGTCTGCATCATCAAAGCCAGGGCAGCCCAGACTTGTCACACTGCACGCCTTTTGTGAGTGTATTTGTTCAGTTTTGTGAAGTAGCATGTGATTTGGTAGTGGCATCCTAATCACTACTGATTCTCTCTTTACACAATAATTAGTGATAACACTATTGTTTGTTAGCCGGTGTTAAGCACAGTGATGTGAATAACTTAAATGTGTCATGGAAATCTAGGAATCTTAGCTTTATTTACAAAAAGTTAGAGGAAAAATAAATAGAATGTTGGATATATGTGTTTTTAGCTCTGGGTATATATGATTTAGCATTTGTGGAGTGAAATTGTCAGGGCGAGTTAGTTCATCTAGTTACTAAAAATGGTGTGATGTTATGGTTTCTGTTCTAGTTTTGCATTTTTAGTGTTTTTTGTATGTGGAAGAATGTGTTAATGTTAGATAAATACCATAAAGTTCATATTTTCTAAATTTTATATGTATATTTTCAAATACTTAGCATTACCTATTCTCTTTTTCATCTTTGATTTGTCTGCCTTTTGAATATTATAACATCAGGTTAGATATTTATGTTTTGCAGAATAGAAATTAGTATCTGAACACATTCCTGAAGAACTTTGCTGCCTCTGAAATGCTAAAGAGAGATGTGTCTCTATAAAACCTGTAGTGCATCTGTGGCACTTGCTTATAGTGTGCTCTGTTTATACCAGCACTGTCCAGTAGCACTCACTTTAATAATGGAATATTCTAGATCTTTGATGTTCAATATGGCAGCCACTATCCAAGGTGACCGACCATTGAACCCTTTAGATGTGGCTAGTGTGACTGAGGAACTGGATTTTTAATGATACTTAATTTTAATTAATTGAAAGTAAAATTGTCATGTGTTCAGTGGAGGCTCCATTGGACAGTATGGGTCTGGATACTCTTTGTGCTAGAGCTAGTGCTGAGAATGGTGACCTTTTGAGTGGAGTGTTGGGAGACAGTAAAGACAGAAGTCATGGAAGGCTTCCCCTGTGGTGGTCTTGTGCTAAGGGTGTTGTGGTATGCACTCATCAGTACTTTGTAGATGAGTGAACAGAGACTTAGCCCACTTAGAGCTTCCCTAGGGTCACTTGCTGGCAATTATTTCCAAAAACATAACATTAAAGATCATGTTTTGTTCATTGTGTTCTGTTACTGGCTCACAAGTTTATTTTTTTCCCACCTCTGTTGAATGGCTGCTGTGCCATGTCCCAGGCTGAGGATAGGCAGTCCGTGAATAGGAGTAAAACCTGGCCTCTGACCGGACTCAGTGGCTCAGCCTGTAATCCCGCGCTTTGGGAGGCTGAGGTGAGTGGACTGCCTGAGCCCGTG